TACAATGAAGGGTGTACAATGATTTGGGAAGATAGAAAAATTGAGCCCAATATTCATAGGTCTGCTTTAAATCATTGAGAGGATTAGAAATATGTCCTATAGCTATGTTGCACCGATACAGATACGGCGACCAGATACGATACAATATGGATACAGGACACATAAATTCTTAAAAATACAGGATACGGGTACGACGCTAACATGACATTATAATTTATAAATCATACATAAAAGTTAAGAAAGCAATCAAAGCATAATATTTGAAATTACAAAAAAAAATGAAAGCAACATCATTTGTAGCCTTGTAGGTTATAATATTAAAATAAAAGTAAGTATTAAATGTCTAGTACAACAACAAAAACATAAATATAAATTGTTTAGCACATGAAATTCCAACTATTCAATGGAAGAATTGATATGATTATCTTTTTCAATGGTTTGTCTTTGAATTTTTATATCATCTTCAATAAATATCATAACTTCTAATTCAGATTCATAAAGTGAAAAATTAGCAATTTCTAATATTCTAATATCATCAAGAGACTCAAATCCGTCTCAAAAATGAAAGAACCTCGCTCGTAGCTCGGAAAGTAAATACGATGCATCTTTTTTCATTTTTTTTATTTTTCAATGGACACGCGTATTAGATACACGTGTCTTTTTGAAATTAAATAGTATTTTAATTGGATATAGCAAATCCGACAAATATCGGTGTCGTATTGGAGGCGTATCCGTGTATCGGTGTATCAGATACAACACACCTTCATAAATAGGTGTATCGGTGAAACATAGACCTACAGATTGGACTTGTTAGTACATATGCAAGGGATACACAATGTGTTTTACATATCAGTGCTTCGTAAGTTTGTATCAGATGAGTTAAAGAAAATCCAATCAAAATCAATTGACATGCTGCCATATTTGAAATAAATTGAGGAACCTAAAAGGATATTAGAATTTGATATAAAATAACTCAGAAATCGGGAGATGCCTTTTGTAAAGATTTTATGCAAGCATGCAACATAAAGAGATGCCACTTGGGCAAAAGAATCAGACATGAAAGCACAATATCCCCATCTATTCAATTAAGGTATATTTACCTATACTTGATTTTAATTTCAATGACTAAATTTTATAAGAATGGGAGATTGTAATGAACCGGTATAGACTGGCCAGTTTAATTGAACCGGACAGCTTTTAATTAAAAGCGTGACAGGGATGAAACAAAGGCGGATGGAACCACAACCCAGACAAAGAAGCCCACGTGCGATCCAGACAAGTCGGTTTGCGATTCTGAACGAAGGGTCGCATACGTGGGAGTAAATTAACTACTCCTTGTGAGAGAAAGTCCATTCCATTCGTCCTTGAAAAAGAAAATACAAGGGAGTTGTGTATTGTCGTGAGAGGCAACTAAGGGGAAAAAGAAGGAAGTAAGTTTTTCAATTTATCTCTTTTGACAATTATCTTCTTCTGTGATTAATCCTAGGAATATTATGTTATATTAGAGGGAGATAGAAGAAGGAATTGAAAACGGGAAGTGAAGGAAATTTTGAAATCAACTCAGTAGATTTTTTCATTTCTATCGACGAGAAAGAGTAAGTGAATTTAATTGTTCTTATGCATACAATTGTTAATATTTTATTTCTCTAATTAGTGACATAATAAGTGATTAATAAATAGAAAGGAGAAATCTAGTTGGTAGTTTCTTGATTCAAAGAGAAAGAGAAGAAGACTTATCGAGGTAATTAGAATTGTATGAGAATTTCAGTAGATGTTGTAAGCACATTAGTAAATAATTTAATGTTATCATTAGCATTGGTTAAGACAAATTAAAAGCACTTTGGCAGTAGAGAATTGGTTAACCAAATATACTTAGATGACAACTAAAGCCATTAAAAAAAAAAGAGATCAAAGGCAAGAATTTATTAAAGCAATATTTATATGAGTGAAAATTTAAAAGATGATAATAGTTTTATGTTTGTGTATGTTTTAGATTTTATTCCAGAAAATTATTTTCACTGATCGATGATTTGAAAGAATCAAAGTGGATAATTATAGTTGTTTAAAATTTTCTTATTGTATTTCCATTTCAATTTTTAAGGTAGTATTTTATATAATTGTTTTAACTTATTTTTGGAAACTATTAAGTAAGGTAATGTAAATTCAATATCATACATGATGGTAAATTTGATAAATATAGATTATTATGATTGAATATATATATGTATAGACTATCTTAAGAATATGAAAGAATATGAAGGTATATATAATTGATGATATAGAAGGTATATGAAAATAATGATATATGGTACTTATATATATAAGAAGCATAAATGAATGAATGAGAATAAATGAAAAAGGAGAAAAGGATATGTCTGCAAATTACAGGAGTCGCTCCCGTATGCAACTGTCTGGATAAGCAATGTACCCGTGCACATTAAATGGAAATGAAAAAGGAAATGAAAATTATTGTACATTTATTTATACATTTAGATGGTGCTCCTGTACAAATTGAATTGGAAAATGAATAAATGCTAAATTTTATGAAATGCATTGTATATGAAATGTATAAAGGAATGAATGAAATGAAAAATGAAATGCATATACTAAATGTTATATGACTGTTTATATAAGTTTTAATATTGTATAGGAAATGAGAAAAATAATATGCATTTTAGTTTGTCCAAGTTTAATTGTTACATATAGGAAGGTTACCCACTGAATTTACATGGTAAACTCAACTATTAAACTAATATTTTCAGGTAAGTCTCTAAAAAAATAGAAATGGCTTAAAGAGAAGAGGAATACATCTACAGAAGACAGCGCACAAATGCAAACAGGTAAAATATGATTGATGTAATTATTTTAGTTTGAAGGTATCAATAGTTATGGAAATTTTATAATAGTGCCTCTTTAGAATTTTTGAGAAGTATGTTAATTTGCTTATATAATTTAATGAAATGTTACAACCGTCCGATTGTTAGTCCCCGTCTCGTTAGTTCAAGTCTCCAGGCCGGATTGTGACACTCAAATTGTAAAGAGAAAATGTTCATAAAGATTAATTAAGGAATACTAGCTTCAAGTTTAATATTCTATATTTTAGCTCAAGCGTTAATTTTTTTTTTGGGATAAACATGCAAGGGCCATACAAAAAGGTAGAAATAACTCTTGAGACAGCTATGCCACTTGTAGCTGACCATATATCCCTTCATAATTACAGTTTTAAGCTTTTGATATTTTGATTTTAGAAACTATTCTCGAGTCCTCAATCTTTAACATTTTATTTACTTTTTTTTTTTTGGTGGATACTTTAATCTCTATCCTCAATTTTTGGGATCAAACAAGCAACTGGTTTTTCAAAATTTTGATAAGTTCTTAAACTTCGCACCTTGATCCATATTAGTTCTCCTCATTGTTTTATCTTTTCTCCAAAAGTTTGATTTTTTTACAAAAGTTCATCCAAGGCTTCTACTAAGATAATTTTACTGATTGCAAATGTCTTCTTTCCTCTAAAAAGGTTTTTCAAACTTTTTCAAAGTTTTTAAACTTCGCAACTTCATCCAAATTAGTTGTCCTCATTGTATTTTCTTTTCTAGAACAGCTTGATTTTTTGTTGGGTTCTTCTAGCTCTCTGCCCATTTGTTAGCAGATTTATTATGTAAGGTTCATCCTAAGCCTTGAAAAGGACCATAGGGTTTATTCTTTAGGATAAGAAAGGTCGGTATCGAGTTCATCCATAGCCTATGAAATGACATAAGTTAACTACTTAGCTATAAAGGAGATCCTCTTAAGGATTGTGCTTCACCATGAAAGGCAAGTTATAGAGAGATTCCTAAAAAGGGGAATAGACTTGGAATCATGGAGTTAAATAAAATCCTTGAATTTTAATGATGCAGATCAAGCTAATGGTTACAAAAGTCCCCTTCAAATTACCATTGAGAGCCTACACGTGCGCAAAATTAAGAAGACAGAAAAGAAGTTAGCAGGCTGCTAACCCAATTTTGGGCCCACGAGAAACTAAAAGGGCCATTCAATAATAGCCTAGCCGGATTATTAAGTGTTAATCTCCTCCGAGTGATTGAATGAATACTTTATAAAATTATTTTAGCCAATTTTTGTATTCTTTTTTCTGAATTTGAATAGTTGAAGAGGTTTTATGTAAAACTGTAATAAACTTGCCTATTTAAAGGCCTTAGCAATGAGAATTGAAGGGGGTTTTGGTGGATCAAATTAGTGAATGTTTCCTTAAGTGTGGCTACCCTTTGGGGCCCCTCTTGGAGTCTCCATGAACTTCCCTTTCTCCTCCATTTATCCCTCCCAGCCGCAGGTTCTACTTGGAGTATCCAAGAACCGAACCGAACGACCCCCTCCTTCCTTACATTGGTTCTTTGATGAACTCGGACAGTAGCTCACCCCTGTCCCTGTCTTGGAGTCTCCAATAATCCATTCCTCCTCTTTCAGGTCTCAGCCAAGCCCCTCATCTCCCTTCCAATTCTGGCGCCAGTTCTTAGGTGTTGCCTTGGAGATACAAGAACTACACCCTCTCTTCTTCCCTCCATAATTCAGCCATTGTTCTGCTTGGGAATCTTCTCTCCTCCCTTTCCTAGCCGTTGTACACAGCAACAGCTAGCTGCCAGGTTCAGCCAACCATCCTTCTTGCCATTTTCTGCCACAAGAATAGCCGCCCAAACCAGCAAGAACAGACCCCCAAACCAGCAAGAACAGCCCATTGTTCCCTGTTCACCCCAAAATTCTTTCCCTAGTTTGTCTACAGCCTTCTCCTCCGCCCATACCTTCAAGAACAGCAACCCTGCTAAATCCATACGAAATTTTATAATGGAGACAACCTAAACATTGCTCCAGGCCAGCACTCTTAAAATATAAATCCATACGAAATTTTGAAAGAAAAAAAAAACTTCTTGCTATGGTTCACCAGAAATATAGAAGTTGCACTCGGTTTAAATAATCCTTTTAATAAGCTTCAGAAAAGAACATCTTACACTCCTCCAATATGCGGCTGGAATAGGATCTCAGCAGCCTGGAAACGCTCCTTTGATAAAGTAAACCAACCTTCACCTGCCACCTCAAATGATGCTGGATTATCTTTGCGTAGCTCTGCCTCATAATCGGCGGCTACATAGCATAGTTTCTGCATATCCATGAAAGAATATTCACAAGAAATAAGTACAACAATTTAGAAGATATTCTCCTTGAAATTGTAAACAAGTATTGGTGCCATCAGTACACCTTCAACTCCATAGCATTGAGAGAAAAATGACACAACGCAATCACTTCACCAGTAAATATAGTTTTACGTAATATATTAGATTACAGCACCACTTCACATAACATCACATGCATGTGAAAAAACTCCCATATAAAAATTGGAAAAATACCTCCTTTAGTGTTCTAACGGTGTATAAAGATTCGAAGGCTATGCCTCTCTGCTGCATTAGCTCTCTGAGAAATCCTGTAACTTTTAGGGCTCCTTGTCCCACAATTTCGACTCCCACTTCTCTCATTACTTTGCCACGAAGAACTGTTCAGATAAATCCATTGTCAGTACAAAAAGCCAAACAAGGGAATTATCGTTCAGAATAAATATTATCAACGCTAGACATGTGACAAATACAATGTTTAAAAATCTGTTTAGCCTCCTGAAAAAAATTAGAAAATATGTTTAGTGGTATTTCTAGTTTAGCTCTAGATGTATTAGTTGCAATTTAGTTCCAATACCAAAAATATTTATAAATTTTAATTATCTGAAAATTTAAAACATTTAAAAAAAAAAACAAAAAACAAAAACAAAGATAATTTAAACTTACCAACGAATACTAATCAGCTTCCTACTTTTTCCCATACACTAGATTCTCTATTTTACTGTTACTTTCGGTTTTTTTTTCTTTTTTTTTTTTAGAACATTTGACATATTGGTTTCTTTCTTGATTTATTTCTCAGGTGGTAGACTTCACAACAGCTTGTTTAAGCTTGGAAACACAAGTCAGATTTAGGTTTCATTTAGAACGATTTTCTTACAGTTTATTAAAGAAGTTTTTTTTTTAAAAAATTAAATTTTTTTACTAAAAACCTGATTTAAGAAGCAATAAGAAATTCATCCCAAATGAAGTCATAGTAGTAGGGAGTGATTGGCAAAGGGAAACACCAAAGCAGATGGGTGTCATCGTGTGGTTATCAGAATTTTGGCTAAAATCAACAGGAAAGCAGGAAAACAGATTCAAGAATGTGGAAATACGAGAAATCTGAAATTTGGTGGATCTTCAACATAATTCTTGACGTATGATTTAATTCTAGATACAAAAACCTTTGGGTTGACTTGATTACTTAAATGTTATCTCTAATCAAAGTATCTTATCTTGCACTTTTGTTGTTTCCTTATAGGATTGAAGTCCACAAGTTTTTATCCAGTTCTTGATCGCATTTTCATCTTGTAAAGCATTTCAAACATTTATTCAGTGTCAATAGAGTGAATAAAGTTATCACTCTATGAGTGTTGACCATGATATGAACTTTGAAGTCGAGCAACTACTCAAAAGAAAGTGATGAGTGTTGAACGAACCACCGCATAAAATCATCCAAACATTGCACGCTTCACAAAATGGACCCCCCCTGTGGTTAGATTGGTATGAACTTTATCGAAAACAATGGATTTCAAGCATTGTCCGAAACTACTCGTACATAGTTCGTTTGCGAAACAGACTCGTTTGCGAAACAGACTACATCATTGCATTTGAAACGTAAAAATTTTTAGGAAATAACAAAAATTGCTTATATTATAGCATGAGAGAAATGATAAAAAAATTCATCTATATGCCCAAAGCAAGGGCAAAATTATATGTGCAGACAACAACAACAACATCAAGCATTTATCCCACTATACGGGGTACACAATTTCTTAAAAGATTCATGTCATTATTATTCGACAAGTTTTACGCTGGCTGTCGACTACCTAACGCAATCCTCCACTTTTCTCATCCAAGACTTGAGACTTGGCAATGACAGTGTTTGCAAAGTTATATGTGCATGATAAGTGAAATTTGACAAGGTGCATCGATACATAGTTAAAATAAGGATTTTTTTATTAGCATTAAAAATTATTATTATTGTTGTTAAAATCTAATTTAAAATTATCATATTAATTATATAATCTCTCACCGATAAGAACGCGACACGTGTTCTCTAACAAGTGGACTTACCGCCAAATGGCACCACAGATAAATTGTTATAATTTGAGCCCTCTAAACGGTAGTATTACTATAAAATGACACAATTAAATTACGATCACAGTTAGAGCTCCCAAGTTCCCCATTGGCTAACAAACTCTGGAGTAATAAATCATAATGTTCATTTGATATGCCACAAAATACTCAATTAGTTAAGGTCAACTTTAATCCATCAGCTTAAACAAACATCCATTAAAGATCTATAAGATTTTCTTGAACGAACAACGCATGACTGCCAACAAAGTTATTTTGATCAAACTGGGTTAGTTACCTACTCTGACTTAATAGACCAAGGTCCATGATAACCCAGGGTGACAAAACCATAGAATCTTGATTAGGTTTTTCGTGATTCTCACACCATTCGCTTTAAGCTTGCAATGATAAATTTTCAATCATAAATTCAATTTTTTTGCAATTATATGCTAAGCACTTATCTTCTAATGGTTAGCCTTAATCAAAAGTTCACTTCAATCACCAAGTGGGGAAATTAACCATAAATTTTCAACACATTTATCACGTAATCTGCCACATGAAAATTCACCCAAAATCACCTAGACTATGGAAAAGCATTCATGAAAGTTTGGGCAAAAATCTGCACTTCAATACAGCTTTTCATCCTCAAACTGATAGTCAAACCAAAAGAACCATTCAGGTACTGAAGATTTATTGAAATTATGTGTTTTGGGTTTCAGAGATAGCTGGGAAAATCACATGCCATTAATAGAATTTGCCTACAATAATAACTACCAACCCAATATACAAATCACACCATATAAAGCACTTTATGATAGAAAGTGCAGAACTCCCTTAACTTGGGTTGAGGTAGGAGAAAAATAGTTAATGGGCCCAGAAATAGTTGAGGAAAAAATAAGAAAATTAGATTAATCAGAAATAGATTAAAAACTATACAAGATCGCCAGCAAAAGTATTATGACCCCAAACACAGAGCAGTAGAGTTTGAAATTGGGGATTTTGAATTTTTGAAGGTTAAGCCCGTGGAAAGTACAGTCAGATTTGAGCAGGGAGACAAATTGAGTCCTAAGTATATAAGACCTTTTAAAATTAGTGAAAGTAATAGAAAAATTGCTTATAGACTTGCTCTTTCAGCTGACATGTCATATATTCACAATATTTTTCATGTATCATTGTTGAGAAAATGGATTATAGATGTCCATCAGAGAATTTTATATGATGAAATCGATTTACAGAAGAATCCGACTTACACTGAGGAACCATACAAAATAGTAGATTTTGATATGAAACAGCTTTGAAATCGTCAGATCCCTTATGTTAAGTTCAAATGAAAATACATGCTAGAAAAGGAGGCAACCTGGGAAAAGGAAGAAGGCATTAGATCGAAATTACCTCATTTGTTTAATGACCATTAAAATAATGAATTTCAAGGACGAGATTTCAATGAGGGGTGGATTGTAATACTGTATTATATATTCTACCCCTAAGCAACAAAGTACAAGCTTATTTTTATATTCTTAATAAAAAAAAATCCATTGATATACACATGCAAGGGTTGATTTGAATCCAAAGGATAAGATTGGATGTGAATGTGTGGTGGAAAGTTAGTGGGATCGTAATTAAATAAAAAATATTGAGTGGAAGTAAAGCACTAGCCATTCCCTCTTTCTTCTCCTCCCACCCATCAAGTTCCTTCTGCATTCGAACAGAGAGCAGGTTGTGGAAAGCAAAGGCGAGGAGAAAGATGCTGGAGCTGCTGTTGTAGGTTTATTTTTATTGTTGTGTACTCTTGCTGTTACGGCTTCTAGGAGAAGTTCCTGCTGTTGTTTACTAGATTTGGGAAGGAATTCGGTGGCTGCTGTGAGGGAAACGTAGAAATAGGTAAGCAGAAAAGCATTCATGCAAACTATTGTAGGAATTTTTAAATCAGAATTTCTAAGAATAAGGAGAATTTCTGCAACTAATACACCCTACAGGTTGCTGCTGAATTCAGGTCTTTTTACTATTGGGAAGAAGGCAGTAAAGTGAAATTTTAAGGGGCGGGTACAAAAATTCAATTAAAGGTTGTATGATTTACTAAAATCTGTATTTTTCTTGATACAAACATTGCTGAATTTAGTAAATGAAAATAAAAAAAGCCAAATGAATATGTTCATTTAATGTATCTAAAATTTCTATGTTACAAGAATAATTACTCACTGAGTTTATCATGTAAACTCAACATATTAAACTAAACTTTCAGGTAAGTCTCCTAACAAATAGAAATGATTAAAAGAGTAGAGGAATACATCTACAAATGCAAGCAGGTAATCTATGGTTTATGTAAATATTAAGTATGTGGAAGATTTTATTAGTAGTATGAGATTGAATTTTCCACATTATCCAGATATGCTCCTCAACTAATACATACTGTAGAGAAAAAATGTCACTAATTCTTATCTGGATTGAAAGACACAATCAGGTAGCCCCTTGTTTCTATGAGAATTTAAGATTATATTGTATTAGTGGAGAGAGCTAAAAGGGTAGAAATAGACATGCAAAATACCCAAAAAAGATGTAAGTTTCAGAAGAGGGAGAGTGTTGATGTTATGAGAGCTTCTCAGGATTCACACAGCAAATCCATTTTATAATCTAAGAAGTTTAATTGGAAGAAGGCAAAGCTTAGTAGAAATGACAACCATATGAGCAAAAACAATTGCAGCAAGTGTGGAAGGCAATGCATGGGAGAATGTCTATATGATACAAATACTTATTTCTAGTGTCATCAACCAAGTCATATAGCTAAGAACTGCCCTACTTTGGAGTAAAGACCAACAGGAGAATCAAGGATGAATAGTGGAACTCTGAGAAATGTAGGAAGACAAAAAATTATAGAATCAGTTGCTTCTACTCCAGGACCAAGTCAAGGTCGATAGAATACTCAGCCTAGAGTATATGCTTGTCTCACCAGGATGCCAAGGACTCACCTGAAGTAATTACAGGTATTTTTTTATTTAATTCATGAGAATTTTGTCAATTGCATGATTAATCAAATAATATGAATAAACAAGTTGATGAGGACATCTGGCCGTGGAAAGTTTATCAGAGGAAGGGTTGCAGATCTACGGCTACAATCGGATTACTTTATTACTGAGCATTTATTTGTATTAGATTTAGTATGTGTAATTTTTCGTTTTTACCCTCACTTGAGAGAGTAGGTTTATGTGACCCAGGGGGCATATTTTTCATTTGATGTTTTATTGTATTTTGTCTATTTATAGGCCTCAACTCCGCCGCTTTCAAAGTTCTTATGAGAGTTTATGTGAAGTCTCTAGGTGAGGGCAAC